TTTGGATGTGCTTTCTGTCTTATTCCAATACGAGTTAACCAATCGCAAATCATTCCGCGCACTAGTTTAGTTCAGCATGCGTTTGAAATTGATCGATCTGGAGAGGATGCTCTTAGACCAATTGCACGATTGTGTGGTGGTTTCGTTGAATGATGCCTAGAACTCCTTAGCCTCACCATTCTAATTGAGACGGCCTAAATAACAGCCGGGTTGATCTACCGTGTGATTCATCGAATCAGCTCAATTCACCTCCTTATGTTAAGAGCATGAGGCAGTGGGAGAAGGCCGTGTAAAAAATGTCTTAAAACGGTATTTTCTGTGCCATGTACTATGTAATACGTAGCGTGTGGTGGCCTCACGTTACAGACTTACAATGTACAACTTCCACCTCCTAACTTCCAGTTCGCAAGCGGCCAAGTGCTCTTTTCTCGACACCTTGGGTAAGGCTCAACGTTAGAGTCCGGACCGTTCCAATAGCCACACGGCCAAAATAGTGTGGACCGGCAGTAAGTTTTCAAGGTTTCACCTCGCTTTGACAAGACAAAATTGTACGACCCATTAACTCAATTCAGAGATAGACTTCTGTAGATTCTTCATTTTTAAACTTCAGTGTATCTTTGCTACTTTGTTGAGATTACAATTGCTGTGCTCACGTGGGCCAGTACTGTGTGGCTGTGTTTCTTTTGGTGTCATTGATTTCCAGTATAACGTACTTCAACATTGCCCAGTGATGTCTTCTCCGCACAGTGTGACACATTGCACTTGCGAATCCCAACAATTATGAATAGGACAAGAGCTTTCTAGTGCTATAAACCATTGCTTCCAGTTCTAAGGGAAAGAGCAGTCACAATTTACAAAACTTGCTACTCAATCGATTACCCTCCACTTTGAGAGAAGTGTTATGATGGTCACGTGACTATCATGCGTAGTCTACTAAACATCAACAACTAATCAACAGAAAACAACAAATTGGGTCTATTAGGAATGTACAACTCTATAATCCGTTGCTTGCACACGTAAAGACTGTGCCATACAGTCCACTTTGATAACTCAGAACAATGGAATCAACAGATGCATAGGTACCAGGTCCCAAAATATAAATACCGATACCAATTAGTACCCAGCAGATCACATAATCAACCTTCTCTCTGGTGGTTAGCACTCCAAACAGGTGTCTAAAGTTTGTAAACTGACCTTGGTATTTGGCCTCTTTTATTCTGAAATAGGCAACTCCCCAGAATACAAAACCAAACCAACAGTCAAACAGCGACGACATCAAAGATAACAAGTCGGAGAAGAACGGAATGACTTCAGCAATGACAAAAGCAGCAATCCATGTGGCAGCATTGATGAGGATCCACACACTCCAACCTTTCAGCGTGTGTGATGTTCTATGCTTACTCTTGGAGTCAAACACTTTGAAAAACAACAACTGTGATGATACGTTGCCGTATAGTGAGCCCAAGAATATGATGGTAGGAATAGCAAATGAGAAAGCTGCAAGTTTGTACTTCCATTGCAAGGATCCAAAGGCAGGTGCAGTAATGTATGAATTACCTACATACACATATACGATGGAGCCTGCAAGTGCAAAGACAATCACTTCGCATAGAGTCACCAAATATAGTGCCTTTTTGAATTCCTTTGGGTTCTTCATCTCACCGATGAAGGAAGGATAACAGATTTGTCCAACAAATGTGTACACAATGTTAAGCATGGCAGACATTCCAGAGACATACGTTGTGCCTTCCTGGGGCCACAGGTGCCACTTAACAGGTTCTCCTTCGATAAAGTTATCAGGATGATCTTGCACGCCTGAAAAGATCATCGCCAACAAAACAGCAATGAACATCGTTGCAGCGGAGAACAGTCCAATGATTGACATATGGGAAAACGTTCTCGGTAATGAGATGAGAAAGCAAATCGCAGCTGATATAACAGCAAAAACCACTGTACATTGGCTATGGTGCGTCACTGTGTTGAGATACTTAGCCCCAACCAAGACGTGCAAAGCCTGGATCAATGTGTTGTTCAAAAGGAAACACACTGCAGTAGCATACCATGCCCATTGCTTACCCCAGAATAACTGTCTTCCAATATCACAAATGTTCTGCAGATGTGGATAACGAGAACAGTAATCACCAATGATGAGACCCGTATATAACGTGGTACCTGCGACAAATACGGTGATTATAAGGCCTGGAATCAACCCCAGCACCGAGTATGACCACGGGAAGGACATGATGGCAAGACAGATGTACTCGGAGAATAGAAGCATCGCTGTACGCTGCCATGAACAAGAACGGTATTTGATCTGATTACCTTCTTCTTCCTCAATCTCCTTATGAAGGATGGCGTCTGCCTCTAAGGTCTCTTCGTCGTCATAGGAGTTTGAAGGCACATTGACCGTTAATGGAACCCCATTCGACGACTCTTCCAGGTATTTTTCATAGTCTTTACTGTCTTCCTTCGTTAAAGCCATATCAGATAAAGCCTTGATAAAGACATTTAGCGTATTCAAAGAAGCAGGGGAGTTATGGCCAGCTTTTTATACTACAAAATTGGTGATTGAATCTTAACATATATCATAGCAACTCGATCGTCGGTTCATGGACAGCACTATGGCTTTTATGCAAGCAGATGCTCAACAATACCTAATTTCTTTCTTTTTTCATGTTTTTTCACACATTTTCGCCTCTACATCTGTATACTTTTTGCTCGCGATGACGTTGCCAGAAGGACTGGCCCATGTGCCACAACGAATTCGCCACAGTGCCACATGTTAATAAGGCAACATAGCCGATAAACCATTGGTATTTTTTGTCCAATCTTTGAGATTCATCAGATGTGGTTTCCTTGGCCGTTCATTAGCACCAGTGCACCAGCGACTAAGATAAAGCATCTTGGAGGAAAATTGTTCATCCTGCCCTGTCGAAACGGTTGCCTTCAAACTGATGCAGGGGACAACCTGTAAAAGGTGCATCGAAGAAACAGATGAGGCGGTCGCTGCCCAGCGAGTTGCTAACAATAAATGCAAAGAATGAAAGGGTCATATAAAGCAATCTCCCATCTCTCTTAAGCAAAACCTGTTCTGTAACCGTGAAGATAATAACCATACTGTGTATGCTAGGCAAAAAAAAAGTATTATATCTAGCATGGTATTGCAGCAACTTATTCAAGATGAGTGAAGTTGAAAAAGCCACTGAAAGCCACAAATTATGGCACTGAGAATATAAGCCACTGTGGCTTGGAATGTAGACTCTACAGGACATAAGTAATATTACCAAGGTCAACAGTTGCGTTGGCAGGATGATTTAATAGTTTTGTCTTTATACCCCTATAAACGTAATGAGAAGGAGGGAAAGGTTCACTCTTCGTCCTCATCTCCCAAGTCAAGTTTTCTTTTCCCATTAGATCTTAAAGCTCCTAACTGAGTTGTAGCGACTTGCTTCTTCACCTTCTTTGTCATCTTTTCTATTTCAGCCTCTGCATCCCCACTATCTTGCTCTGCATATTGCATAACCAAGCGTCTACCAAGGAGATGGACACCTTGGAGTTGATCCATAGCAGCCTCAGCTTCGTTAGGTAACAAGAATTCAACAAAGGCAAAACCTCTTGCAGACTTGTCGAACTTCTTTGGAACTCTGACAGATTTGAGTTGACCAAACGAATTGAAAAGCTCAAAGACGTCCTTTCTTGTAGCCTCAAACGGTAAGTTCTTGACAATGATCTTGGAGGATTTGGATTTGGATTTCTTGGAGGATGATGACGACGAAGTTGTGCTTTGACGATGCGAGAGCTTCAAGGAAAGTTTATGGCCATCGAGAACAACACCATCAATAGCACGGACTGCAGTGTTTGCTTGATCCTTCGTCTTGAATTCGGCAAACCCGTATCCCATGCTTTGTGTCTTTGTTGAGTCTCTTGGATCAGGTTTGGTCTTGATCGTAGCAAGGACAAATCCATCCAATTTTGACATGAGCTTGGTGAGATCCTGTGGTGTTGTGGAAAAGTTCAAGTTCTTCACAAATACAGATACAGTTGGTCCTTCAAACACTTCGGTATCCTCTTCAATAATATCCTTTTCGTTGTGTTGGATCTCCTTTGCATCTTCTTTGACTTCAGAAGTTGTGACAATTTCATCTTCAGATGGTGCTCTTGTGAACAAGTCTTTTGGCCCCTTCTCAAGATAGAGAATACTCTTCTTAAACCTTCTGTATGAGAGCTTGGTGAAAGCACTTCTCCCACTTGGTGCGTCTCTATATTGAACAATGGCTATGGTACCGGAAGGTGGCATGATGACTCTCTTTAACTCGCCATATGGGCTAAATAGATCCAATATCTCAGATTCTGTTGTGCCGTAGGGGATATTTTTAGCGAGTAAGACGGCATCGTCACGTTCTTTGGTTTGGAATTTCAAAAGATCAATGCCTTTACTCTCAAAGAATTTCCTCACATCTCCGATAACATGTGCTTCTGCCAATGCCTGTTTCACAGCCGAGCTGGCGTTCTCTGGATCGATCAATTCGGACTTTTGAACACCCAAGTCTGCTGCAATGGTGTCCATCACAGCATCTTGGTTCAAATAAAGCGAGTTCCAACTGAACTGGGATTTCGAAGCGTCGTTCTTCTTCTTGAGCTCTCTCTGTTTCTTCAATGGCAGATTCTTCAAGTCAAATTCATCTAATCTGTGATCTTTCTTCCCTTCTGCTGGAATGATGTGCATCAAACGACCTTGGAAGATTTGCTTATCGAGTTCGATATATGCGTTCACAGCGTCGTCTGGATTTACAAACTTGATATAACAGAACCCCTTGGATTTACCTGTTCTTGTATCAATGGCAATATGAACCTCTTCCAGCTCTCCAAATTTGCCAAACAGTGTTCTGAACTCATCCTCTGTAGCCGTGTATAGGATGTTTCTCAAGAATAAACGGCCGGTTTCCCTAATCTTCTCAATTGATAGCTCCTCGTCGTTCTTTTCCGGTTCAATTGGTTCAAGTGGTTCGGATATTTGTTGTTGAAGTTTGTCATCTTCAACTACCTTCTCTTCTGATTTTGATGGTTCAGTTATAGTTGTGGCAGTTTCATTCTCTGAAATTCTAATTCTTCTCTTCTTCAACCATTCGAGATCAGAGATGGCCTCATCGTTCTCCTTACTCTCCTGCTCCCCCTTGGCTTCAGCATTGTTGAATGCATCCAATCCCATCATTGGCTCATCTTCTTCTTCCTGGTCGTTCTTCTTTTCACCAAAATCTTCGTAATCATCGTCACTTTCATTCTCTGGTAACTTGAAGATTTCATCTGCAACCTCATTTTGGAACTTATTCTCAACAGATTCACCTGATTTCAGAGCAAGTGCCTGTTCTAATAGCGAGTTAGATGGCGCACCACCTTCATTGACAACGATATCGTTTGACCAAGATTTAGTCTGACCAGAGGGGTTTGTAGCCTGGATGAACTCTTGCAACTCAGGGTTCTGTGCAATTTCATCATCAATTCTGTTCTTCTTTTCAAGTTTCTGTCTCTTTCTCTCCCTGATTCTCTCCTCCTTCTCCTGTTCTCTCTGTTCACGTTCCTTGACTCTTTGCAATGCCTCTCTTCTCTTCTCCTTGAACGATTTTGGCACTGTTGGGTCGGCAAAACTCTTCGCCAACGAAACGGAGAGCTTTGCAGTGTCCAGGAAGGACCCATCAAAGTACTTCACACAGTCTTCAGCATCTTGATCGCTTTTGAACCCGATGAACGCAAACCTTCTGGATTCACCTTTGGAGTTCTTTCTTAGCTTAACGTCTGTAACCTGTCCCTTCTTGGAGAAGTGCTCCTGTAACCTTTCCTCGGTTATATACTTTGGCAGGTTCTTAACAATAATACGAGACATGGCTTTCACAACTCTTCAACTCTCGCTTAATACACACACACACCTGAAGATGTAACCTGTGTTCAGGACCCAAATGAAAAGTTTTCTATTGCCTATTGATCGGGTATTAAATTTATGTCTCGCACTTGCAGGTGAAAAATTGCTGTTCCGGGGGCGATGAGCTGCCTGATTGGGCAACTTCCGAGGGCGACATTATACCCTTGTGCTAAGATCAACGCTTTCTCTCCACTTTCTCTCCACTTTCTCGACAAATACGCCACTTTATACCCTGTTTGTAGGAGCAGGAGCGTGCCACACGCTGGTGGATGAGGCGCATAGACTGGTGTGGCTCATTTGACATTGTTCAATTGATGCTATAAGCTGTTGTGTAGAAGGAGAATGCTGTCCACAAATATGTTTTGTGTCATAGTTCGCTACCTTGGAGCATATTGAACGTTGATTGGTATTTCTACTTCTTTTATCGCTGTTTACTTATGGAGTAGGCGGCCGGTTCAGCATAGACACAGCTATGAGCCGTAGACTGTTATCACTAGAGATACTAGGCGACATTGGCATACACCCGGTGCCACTGGAGCTTTCAATATCAAACGTGTCGAAAGGATTGATGCTTGTTATGGTGTTTCTTGTGTATCTCATGTTGGAAGCTCAGATGACAGCGTGGTGGTATATATTGTTCATGATACCGGAGAGCACGATGTGCACTGTGAAGGATTCCATGGTTGACGTGTTTTGGACTCTGTTGATATATTTGATCAACAAGAGGAAGATCAAAATCGTTGTGAGTGGTGTCAACTTGAAAGATGCCGAGGTTCACGAGGCGTTGAAGAACTGTGTGGTTGTGTCGAACCACAAGTCGCTCTTTGACTATATGTTGTTGTACTACTTGAAGACGCTTGTGGAGAAGGCAACGATGGAGAGGATATCGTTGAGCTTCTTTACGTGGAATTCTCTTTGGAAAGGACCCAGTTTAAAGCTCCTTTGGAACGTATTCAACAACGATGAAAATTGGCAGATGAGTCCCATGGACTTGGAGCGAGAGCTAACGACCCTAAAGAGGCAGAGAAGCTGTGGTGTTAATAGTTGGATCGCCCATTTTCCAGAGGTCAATATCGTCACTGATAGGAGCCTATCGTTACAGAATCAACAGCTGGAGCAGCACTACCTTCCACAGTTCAACAATCTACTCTACCCAAGGTTCAACAACTTTACCAACTTGATCAAATCTATAGGGAAAGGTGTCTCTTATTCATATTTGAAGACATTTGTTGGCATAACCATCTTGTACTACAACCCAATGAAGAATTGTTTTACAAACCCTACGCTCTTTGAAATCTTGACGTTGAAACAGCCTGTATTCATCATTGACGTGGATATCCGATTGAGGCCCTTGAACAAGTTGCCATTGAAAGAGGGGAAGTTGCAGAAGTGGTTGGAGAATGAATGGATAGAAAAGGATAAGATACTCGAAGCTATGCAGAAACAGTTAAAGCTTAACGTTGATTGATAGTAATTCTATAGAGCCTTCAGTCTTATATCGTAGCCTTCTCCAATTCCTCCGCGAGTTTAGTGACATCCTTGTCATTGTTGTCAGGAGTGTAAACCTCTTGTTCTTGTTCAAGCTCCTTCTCCAAGATTTCAGCTTCAATCTCCTCCTCGGATTCTTCCTTTTCACTGTCTGTTTCATCTTCATCACTGTCGAGTTCTTCCAAGTCGTCAAGTTCATCGAGTTCACCAACGCCTCTGTCTTCAAAGATGGCGTTGATTTCATCGATAACGTTATTCTCCTCTTCAAATCTGTTACCGTTCAACTCCAAAAGTTCCAAGTTTGGCAATTTATCGGAGATGGCATCTTTCAACAGCTCCAACGCCTCTTGGTCCAGCTCGTTGTACTGCAATTTCAACACCTTGAAGTTCTCAAGGACGTCACCACCTTTCAATGCCTTGGCCAACTCAAGCGAGCCCAATGGGTTCAACAAACAGTCGTTAACGTTCAACTCTTTCAAGTTCTTCCAAGATGACAAGTGGTCAGCCAAGATCTTTGCAGATCTCTTTGTGATGGTGTTGTCTTGCAAGTCGATGATGGTCAATTGTGAGTTATGCTTCAAACCTTGGGTAATCAATCTAGCAATACCTTGAGGTCTGATACCGTTCTGGTACAACTTCACAACTTGCAAGTCAGCATGTGCTTTCAAACCAATGGACAAATAAGTGGTTGAGCCGTTCTCCAATCTGTTTCTCCCGCAGATAAAAGTCTTCAACGAAGGTAGTGCCAACTTCTTCTTGTTGAGACTCAGCTTGTACAGACATTTACCGATACGTTCACCGGCAAATGGACCCATACCGTTATTGGAGAGGATCAAGTGCTCCAGATACACAGCCTTTGGTAGGAATCTTTCAACAGGCTCAATGGTTTGTAGACCAAAGGCATTGTCACTCAAGTTGATGATGTGCAACTTTGGAGCATCGAGCAAAGCCGGGAGCAAATAGTCCAACGATTGTGGAATCTCAGTGTTCAATCGACCAGTGAACAAATCAGAGAAGTTCACCTCCTCCAGGGTATCCTTGTGTAGTTTCAATGAGTCAGCAAGATGCTTTGAAGCATCAATACCAATGGTGTTGCCTGAGAAGTCGATCTTCTTGACGTTCTTCAACTCATCGAGTTCCTTGAGGTAAGGCTCAATGTCCTTGTGAGTATCGAACTTCAACGCTTTGCCAGCGAGGGAGTACACCTCATCATCTTTGTATTGTGGTGTGAAGTCAAGGGATGCCATCTTTCTGAGCTACAAGGGACTTTTGTCTTGTTGTTTGGTGTCCGAGTGTTTGATTCCAGTGTTTGATTGCAGTGTTTGTTTGTTTTGGACATTTTTTTTTGGCTTTTTTCCTTTTGTCGATGCTTTTTTGTCCTGGAACTGAAAATGACAAAGCGGGACATGTCCTGGGGGCAGACGAATGCTGAGGATTGTCCGGGACAAGAAAGGATAGAAGAGACAAGACATACGGGATGAGACAAACAGCAGAGCTGTCAGGCTACTACGATAGACACTTAGAAACTCCATAACGTCATAACATTAAAAAGGGTTATAAAGAGGAACAATTCCCCTTCAAATCACTTCTTTGGACCGTGCAATGGAGCACCAATGTCCTTACCTCTCAATTTGACACCCAAGTTTCTCTCCAGCTTACCAAGAACTTGTTGCTGTGGGATGGCTCTACCAGCCTCGTAGTCGTTGATGACGGTTGGCTTCTCGTTGATCTTGGTGGCCAGGTCCTTCTGCGTCCACTTCTTCTCCTGTCTGGCTCTGGCAATGGCCTTACCAACACTGGCATCCACCTTCTTTGGGGCAACGACATCGTCTGTTCTATCAATCTTGGTCAATCTTTGACCTTCAACGTCATTGGATCTGTTGGAAGAACCGTACTTCTTGTCAACAGACAGGACAGCACCGGTTCTTCTGGCAGCGTTGATCTGTGATTGGGTCTTTGCAACTTGTGCTCTTGGACCACCACCACCAATACGCGCCTTGGAACCAATGATTGTAACGTTATCCCAGTCTGACATCTTTGCAATACGATAAGCTTCTTCTTGCTTAGTCTTACGATGCAACAGAATTCGTCGAAAAGGTCTAAGCTGTGGCGAAAATAGGGAAAAAGAGCCCAGGGAGAATATTTGGTGTACGGATGTGTCCCGTGGAAACTTCTGGAAAGTTTAACCGCAAACAGAGAAAGCGCTCTTTACAAAACGAGTTCGCGGCTCTCTGCTCATCGGTCGGGGCAGCACAGGACTGAGTAAATTTTCACTGGATGTAGTGCTTAGTAAAACCATTAACAACGGTTCAGCATTCACGTTGAAAAGGCAGAGAACAATGGCTAAGTCGGAGCTAGAAGAGGTTCGTGGTATATTCAAATGGTTTGCTATACAGCGAGACCAATTACTAACTCGGTATGAATAGCTTGTGGAGTTCTTACACGATGAAAGAGACCCTGTAAGATCAGTGGCATTGGAACACCTTGTTGGGTTCTCTGTAGGTCCTCAGGCCAGTGTATTCCATAACGACAACTTTAGACCGATCTTGGATCTTAAGGTGTTGTCAATGAGTATTGGAAGAACCACAGCATTGCATGCATTTACCATACTGGCCAACCTGTGCTCTGACTTGAAGGTTAGAGACATAATTGCTACAGATGACGAGTATCTACAATTCTTGGTTAACAGCATATTGGATGTCAATAACAGAAACGCTGATTTGGTTTGCATCCTATTGGCAAATGTTGCCAAGCATGAAAATGCAAAGAAGTTCTTCACCTTTGATAAAGTCCAAACTGCGTCCAATGATGTTTTCAAGAGCCCAAAGGCCATCGATTGTCTCATCGATGTGTTTGTTAAGGGTGCCGATAAATCTTTTAACAAATCGGCAAACTTTGATTATCTGTCCTTCTTCTTTGCAGATGTGTCGAGATTTGTTGAAGGCAGAAAATATTTTGTCACAGAGCAAAAATACGATGGCGTTGTGCCAATCAGTAAACTGTTGGTGTTCACTGAGATGTATGACTCCAAGGTTAGACGTGAAGGTGTTGCCTCAACAATCAAGAACTCTCTGTTTGAGGTTGAGGCTCATGTGAACCTGTTAGATGAAGATGGTGTTAATATCTTGCCTTATTTGCTCTTACCAATTGCAACATCTGAGGATGCCAACCTGGACGAGGAAGAATTGTTCAAGCTACCAGACGAATTGCAGTTACTTCCAGAAGACAAGAGAAGAGAGCCAATTGAAGAGATCATCTGTGTCCATTTGGAAAGTTTGTTACTCCTTTGTTCAACAAAATCAGCAAGAGAGTATCTCCGCTCCAAATCCGTTTACCCACTGATTAGAGAATTGCACAAGAATAGTAACAACGATAAAGTCCAAGAGATTTGTGACCGTATAGTCCAGATGCTGATGAGAGATGAAGATCCTAACAATGACAAAATGGAGGAAATACCAACAAAGGAAGAGTTGGGTGATATCGAGTCTGACGAGGAAGAAGCTAAGAAAATCGAACAACGTCTTGAAGAAGAAGCAGAAGAGGAATCAAGTGATGATGATGAAATTGTCGAAGTGGTATAGATTAGATACTTTATGTACTGTTGCTTCTATATATATGCACTTTCTGTCAGGTTATGTCTCAACTTTCGTAGTCTCCTTTGGTACGAGGAAGCCATTCTCTGTCTTGAGTAGTTGATTAACCAAGAGTTTGATTCTACTTCTATTCTCTGGGTTCTTCAGCTTGGATTTCAGCTTGATGATCAAATCTTTAACAGTGATGTTCTCAGCGTTGCGTACAACCGACAGAACATCTTCAGCTGTAAGCAAATCTCCATTAGAGGCCTGCACAGTTGGTATTTGAATAGGCTCTTCCGATTTGACAGTGGTTGGAATACTGTGTTCATCGTCCTCCAATTTGATCCGTTTGGTATATCTAGATTCGTCATCACTTCCCGTGTATTCAGGCACTCTTCTCTTCGCATTTGGATTCCATTCACCTCTTGGGAACTGCATCAGCACGGAAGGTAAACCTTTAAGAACAACAAACCCAATTGGAGAATTAATAGATTTGACTTTAATCCTTGTACCTGGAGCTGGACTGGATTGTCTTGTCTGTACAGATGAACCTGCTGGTGAGACTGATTTGCCCAAGTCAGCAGCGATGATCTCTTCCTCGGAGTTGTCAATTTCCAAATCTGATTCATTCAAGTATGGATTGACTTCATCTTCTGAATCATAGATACCCGTACCTTCAGTTTTCATCAAAGTCTTACGAACTCTTTCACCATCTTTATCAACTTTTCTCGCTTCAAAGAGATCATCGACATCGTCTTCTTCTTCACCGTCTTGGTCATGTAATCCCATGGCATTGGCACCAAGCATCTCTCTTTTCATCTTCCGTTCACTCTCTTTGTTCTCTTCTTCATTACCATCGATGATTGGAGCCTCCTCATCATCAGCGAATTCTTCATCAAAGTCCAGGTCATCATTGTCAGAATCACGTTTACCGTTATCATTTTCAGAGGTTCCCTCAACCGTTTTCAGTTTCTTTTTAGTACGTTCATATCTCGTCAACTTTTGCTCCTTTTCATCTAAATGTTTCATCAACCACCTTGGCACTGTATTGTGCTTCTCCATTCTCGCCTCCGCTTCTTCCAGAGTAAGCGTTGCATACTTGTTTCTTGGTGTGAACTTGTACACTTTGTCCACTGGAATCATTGTGAACTTGTCATCTTTCAACACCAGTAAGCAATACGTGTCTGCATTGGCAGCTTCGTATTGGCCAACCCATGTGTTTTGACCATCCCAATCTTCCATAACCCACGGATAAAACTCCTCATATCTCAACTTTCTATCCTCCTCCTTCATAACTCTAACTTGTCTGGTCTTTCTATTGTCCTTGAACAGTTTCTTCCTAGCGCCACCGTCAGGAGCAATGTTGGCCTGCTGTTTAGCCATCTTTTCAATCCTCTTCTCCTCCTCAGTCTTTGGTTCAGGTTCAGGCTCAGGCGCCACGTTGGGATCATTCTTTATATCGAAAACCACACGACCTGGCTCCTCAGCTTTGGCCTTTTCCCTCGCTAGCCTCTCCTCCTCCGCAATACGACGGGCTTCAGCGTTCTCCCTTTGACGTTGCTCAATCTCAGCCCTCGTAAGCTGATACTGTAGGTTCCTAGTCTCCTTCCGGTGCAATCTAACAGGCTTCGTGAATGACTCTGAGGGATTGATCTTATGCTTAGACTGGAACTTCAACACATTCGTTCTCATATTCTCAATATCCTCGTCCTTACAAGCAACTAGGGAGTACTCCTTGTAGTCCGCTGGGTCTTCAGCCTCCTGCTTTGGTGCCACTGGGATCTTCTTAGGGCGTTCACTCTTGATAGGCCGTCTCCCAACAGGGCGGGAGGGCATACGAAGGGAGTTGATGGACATCTTCTCTTGCAGTACCGGTTTCTATCGATAAAGAAGTTCGCTGGAGATGGTTTGACTGGTTGTTTCTGTTGTTGTTGTTGTTGTTGTTGTTCTTAGCCGCCCAAAGCATTTTTTCTGTGTTGATCGATTAATCATCGCTGACATAATAATCTGCGTGCTGATTAGATAAGCAGAATGTTACGTAACATGAGTCGCGATGATTACATAAGCCATACAGAAGACACCTTCTATACATATATACCGTCATTACACCCGTTGTTAAACACGCAGACACCACTAGCTTGTAGGTTTGACCTATTCCACTGTTAGTACATATATTCTCTCTTCTCGTGAAACCATCACAGCAATAATGGCAACAGGGACTCACTTTAAAGTGTAGTGAAATCAGTGAAAAGAGCAGTGCCTTGACATGCTGTACAAGGAAGTAGAAGACTCTTAGCCCATCTGGATCGTCGCTTTTCTTAACATCCTGCAGAGAGCCGAACTTGCACGTCTTGTTCCACCCTGTTAGTACGTTTAGCTTCGTTCATTGATGCAGCATACTCACCTCTAGCAGCTTATTCTCCCTCCCCAGCCGAATCTTAAGCGATTGCTTGCCATCTCTGTTCTTCTGGGGCCATTTCGTATCATTCTCTAGCAGAATTTCACTCTCTTTGACCATACTAACCAGCACTCTGACCACCGAGAGGCTGATATCCAGTCTTTTGGTGATTGTATCATCAGACCTATAATGTGAATTGTTCTTGTATCGTACTACACCGAACTTCATGCCGGGCTTCATCTCCACTGAAAGTTCCAGAAACTCGTGTCCAAACTTACCCTGATGACCACTATAGTACTCCAAGTAGAAGCCATCTTGCAAAGGGCAATCTACGCCTTCTTCAGACTCAATCTCCATGATCAATTGAGTGGTGATGAGCTGAATTAGGCACACCAACAGCTCAGTTCAAGGTGTTCCTAAGCATCTGGAAAGGGTGCACGCATCGTTTTACAAGGCCGTTCTGAGATTTACTCAGGGTACAATGAGAACATTAACCACTGGCCGAGCCTGTAGGCCGAGCCAACGGGCCCCATCGTCGTATTTTTACAGCGTAAATTTCAGCACACATGTAAGACGCAACGGGCGATGGATGCTCTTCCCGTTGAAATTTCCCTTCCATCAAACAACAACTTTTCACTTGTTGTTGATTCTTCCTTCTTCCTCCTTCTTTCCTTGTAAAGTAGTATCCAAGTAGCTTGAGAAGTATGGCCCAGAAGCTTACACCAGAAGAGCAATACGCTCTCATTACCAAGAACCTTCAAGAGGTTCTGCACGGAGAAATCATCAAGGAACACTTGGAGAAGAATGAACGTCCATTGAAGTTGTACTGGGGTACTGCACCAACTGGTAGACCTCACTGTGGTTACTTTGTTCCTATGACAAAGCTTGCAGACTTTTTGAAAGCCGGTGTCGAAGTTGTTGTGCTGCTCGCTGACTTGCACGCCTTCTTGGACAACATGAAGGCACCATTGGAGGTTGTCAACTTTAGAGCCAAGTACTACGAAAAGGTTGTCAAGTCCCTGTTGAAATCCATCAACGTGCCAGTTGATAAGTTGACATTCGTTGTTGGCTCCTCCTACCAGCTCTCAGAGAAGTACACCCTCGATTTGTTCCGTCTCTCCAACATTGTATCCCAAAATGATGCTAAACGTGCCGGTGCTGATGTCGTTAAGCAAGTTGCAAACCCACTCTTGTCAGGGTTGATCTATCCTCTCATGCAAGCTTTGGATGAAGAGCACTTGGGTGTGGATGTCCAATTCGGTGGTGTTGACCAGCGTAAGATCTTTGTTCTTGCAGAGGAGAACTTGGGCTCTTTGGGTTACAAGAAGAGAGCCCATTTGATGAACCCAATGGTTCCAGGCTTGACACAAGGTGGTAAGATGTCAGCTTCTGATCCAAACTCCAAAATTGATCTTTTGGAAGAGCCTAAGCAAGTGAAGAAGAAAATCAACACTGCCTTCTGTGCTCCAGGTGTCGTTGAAGACAACGGTTTGCTCTCTTTCATCAAGTATGTTATCGCCCCAATTCAAGAGCTCAAGTTTGGTGAAGGTCATTTCGAGTTCCCAATTGACCGTCCAGAGAAGTTTGGTGGTCCATTGAACTACACTTCTTACGATGAGTTGGTGAATGACTTCAAGGAGTTGAAGCTGGCACCACCTGACTTGAAGAGTGGTGTTGCTGACCAGGTCAACATCCTCCTGGCTCCAATCATTGAGGACTTCAAGAATGACCCAGAATTCCAAGAGGCAAACGAAAAGGGTTACCCAGCTCCAGCAGCCGTTGAAAAGAAGAAGAAGGTTAAGAAAGATAAGGGTTCTCGTTACCCAGGTGCTACGAAGAGTACAGAACAGAATTCAGAGGAGCAAGTGACAGAGAAGCTCAAAGAGGCTAAACTGGACAACTAAATTCTTAGATCAAAAGGACTTCAATAAACGAAATATCACGGTATAATTAACACGCAGAGAGCAGTCACCGGTAAATGTTACTCGTCAGCTATACCACTATCGTGGACCAGAGGTTTTATGAATTTGCATGGTTCCTCCAACTAGGTTATTCCAACTTTCCAGCTCGCCCTGGTTATTGGATTCACTTAGCTCTGTTTTTTGAACCACCATCATCTCCTGTGTTTTTCTATCAAAGACAATAGATATCCTTTGATGTATAGATTAATTTCACTGTGTCTGCACTTCATTTTCCACTTTAAAAACATCATGTCCCAGCCCTCATCTCTAGATATCTAACAGCAATTAACTTTTCTCTGACTATTACACATTATGGACACAGTTGATGCGTCATAAGGTCTCCCATCCACCAACATCGAGTGCACCTTCGAGCATTCTGGTGATGTAATTTTGAGAGTCTTGTTGCATCCAAAGTGTCCGAGTTATGTTGTCATATTTTTCGTTGTTCAATGTCATGAGATGTGGAACCTTTCCTTCAACATCATTCTCTCCATGGAAATCAACATAGGGTGCTGGATGGAAAGAACCACAATCTCGATTCAATAACAGCAAAGAGTTGTGCTTAGGTAGAAAGAAAATCCCACTTTGGTTGATGCATTCTCGCTTAACATGGTTGTTACATTCACCCTCCAAATGCTTAGCTGATTTCTTTTGTAAGGAGACAACGCTACCACAGAATAGACAAATGGCAGGATCAAAAGAAGGTCCCAAAGACAGATACTCTTCCTTACTGTAGAATAACTTCGTGTATATATCATCGAGTCTGTGAGGAAGATCTAACAAGCGAATAACACCAGGGTAGTCAATAGTGGGAGCTGATAATTCGTTTTCCGTCGTTGAAATGTACCTGATATATGATGTAAACTTCTCCCTTTCGACAGAATGTGGATTGTTAAATAGCATCAACATTTCACTCAAGGTTGGTAGATTCAAGAGCTTACACAAGCGATCCGATTCCAAGCCTTCTTCAATGCACAAGTTTGAGGAGCAGATGTTGTAATCTCCACATGTGGCAGCAGCCAATATTGAGACTCTTCTTAAATAAGGTGTGATACAACGGTTGAGCATAGTGTAAAGAGTAATTGCAAACTCACTTGTTTCGAATATCTCATCAGATATATTGTCAAAGAGTGGGTGGTTATCCCTAAATGCTCTTGCAAGTGTCATTAGGTTTGCCTCGCTATCTTCATTGGTGTTCAATAATGGTATATCACATAGGCCAATATCATCGCCATCCTTATCAAAGTTAGAATCTTTAATCTGTGACAATAATGTGGAGATCTTTTGCATGATTTCAAACATGAATCCCAAGCGATATAATGAATTTTGTGAGACATCACGGTATGGTGTACACGAGAAGATGAAGTCGAAAAAATCAATATCATCAAAGGCATCAAAAACCCTGTCTGAGGAAAGGAAAGTTAACTTTCCAAGTGCTTCCTCTGCAAGCTTTACTGGCATCCCCTTTCTTTTACCCTCAACTTCTTCCTGAATAATACCCAGTCCAAGCATGGTTTTACGGAATTCAACTAGAACTCTCAAATTGGTCATGATTTGATTGGAAACAAGGTCGGGTACTAAACCAGATGGCGTAGACATACTCCTGCAAGAGATTTCTGAAATCCTTATTGTATCCCGTACGAGTCTTGTTAAATGGTCCATTGAATGGATTGGAGAAACAGAATCAATTCTGGAAATGATGGCACTGGTCACAATTTTGAAGTTCTTTGGTAGATCTTCACTTCCTGTTTTTAAAAGACCCTTGTACTCCTGTTTCAAAGACTCATCTAAACAATTCAGCATATATGCAGCAAAGTCCGTAAGAGATGACGGTTCACAACAAGAAGTTTTTCTAATATCATCAAAGCCTTCATACCATGATTCTTTAGAGTTGACAAAGTCGTTGAACTTGTTCCGATTTTTGGTCCATAAGACTGGTATGAATGCGTTTTCCAAAGACTTGCACAATGGACAGACATACTCCCAATTCTCAAAATCCTCTGGAATTGTTCTAATAATCTGGGTGTGACGGGACTTTGATGATTCCAGATGTTCTAAATAGCAACTGTAATGCATTCCATGGCCGCAGCTTGTTGTTAATAGATCACTCTTAATAGACTCTTGTCCATTCACTGGGAAAGGTGGCCCAATAACCGCAGTCCTTTTTTGATCACTTAGATAAGTTGTCAATCGAGGATCACTTTCCAACTGGGAGGTGTCATCCATGCTTCCAACATCGTCAAATGATCTCAAAAGCCAGAACTTGTCATTGAAAGGAATGGTTCTCTCAACGGATGAAGGAGATATGTTACAAGCAATTCCAAAGAGTGAATCGTTTCCCAGACTCATTTGGCATAATATGCAGTGCTCTTGAGGATACTCCCAGCAATCATCGTTATCTGATTGAGTCATATCTTCATCACTCAAATTGTTATCATTGCTGTTTTTACTCACAAAGTTGTTCTGACGTTTCTTGAAATTAGCCATCAATTTGTTTCGTCTCTCTTTAGCAAGCCTCTTCTTCCGTTCAAATTCTGTCTCTCCGTTAGAAACATCAACCGCATTCTTTGTCAATAATGATGAATCAAAATGCTCAACTTGTTCTTCGAGATAGTCGTTGACATGTATATTTTTATCTGCTAGTGCTTTGAATATCTCACGGATCTTTGCATAATGAGACAAATATGACTCATCTAGTAGAAATTTGTAGAGTAAAGCACCAACACTTTCGTAGTAAAACGGTTCGTTATGTTCCACGGTGAGTTCGGAAAAAAGCGTTTCGCAAAACGTTAAACATGTTGATCTATGAATACCATTAACTCCAATGTGAATCAAGTGTAATACCAGAGTCATTATGGACTCGGTAGTTTCCAGTCCTTCTCTGTTGACGAACTTCAAAGTGCTCTTTAGAAACTGTACGAAAATCCTGGATGATGTGACAGTAAACAAGTTCTGAAAAAGGGTTCCCTCCAAATTTTGCAGTTTTGGTTCAATAAATGTTTCATCGTATGGAATTCCTTTTTCTTTCGACATACGTTTACGCAAGACCTTTTCTGCTTCATCTCTCTTATTTGCACTATAGTGTACATAATAAGGGTCAATTTCATCGTATAGTTCATCTTTCAATTTGTAATGCCCAACTCCGTTGGCACCGATTGGAGGTGAATAATCCGCAACAGATTCTAGAACAAGATCAAAGCGTTTCTCGTGATACATGTACTCGGGAATTGAGGCACAAAGCTTCGAGTAGGACAGCTGTTGGAAACACAAGTAGTGAATTATTTCTCTCCGTATTCTCTTCTCACTCATGTCTTCCACCTCGAAAAGATATCCTGTATCACAAAGTAATTGAATGCAGAATAGCAAAAATTCCTCAGCCATCAAGCTCAATGTAGAGTCTTCGTAGTCTTCTTCATTGGTAAAGTCCTCATTCAGCCAAGGTTGAAGGCTCCATTTATTGATGAAGGTTGCCATGATCTCACTTGCAGGAAGCATACACATCAAAAATTGAATCATGTAAACATCTCTCTTGAATGCAGATTCTCTTAATCCACTAGTTTTGTAGATGTTCAACTGTGTGCGGATGCTGTATCCGTTTCTGACCCATAGGCCAACACGAATTTGTGCGAGAATCACCAATGTCCTCAATGGATATTCGAGAAGATGGAACAAAATATCGTCACCACGAGGTTGCAACATTAATTCAAAGTCTCTAATATCCGTAACACCTGAGAATTGAATGGCCCATGTCGTAAAGGCATGTAATGGGTGGACAAGACTGACTCTGGACAAGTGAGGTTTGGAGTCAAAAACCGAAAATGGACCTTCAATGGTGTCCATAACTGTTGTCTTCAATACTGAGTTTTCGATCTTCTCATGATTTGGTTCCACCCGAGAAATAGAACGTTGGCACATTATGGTTCTTTCAGTAATGATATATACCAGATGCATGACTTCATCATGAGGAAGCTTCAACATAGCCTTTGCAACAACTTCTGCAAGAGATGCAGTTACAGAGTACATATTGAAATATAGTCCGTAATCATTTGTTTCATATTCCACGTGTGCGTGTATTGCTCTCTTTAGAACGGGTTTCCCTTGGAACAACTCCAGGATATCACAAACCTGCATAACAAAATCTGAATTTATCACATCAACCAAAGATGTGCTCTTTGTAAGAACACAACAAATATCAAATATGACTTGGCCTATTCTTCTGTTTCTAAAAGCTGCGAGCTTTAGATCTTCATGGACCACTTTAACCATTGGCCAAACAATTTGTAAAGTTGTTAGGTAACAATAAGCGCACGATAGAAGTACCGTTAGATCACCATGCTGTGCTATTTGTGTAGCATTGGATGATGAAGTAAAAACCTGCGTTGTCAACGTTGTCATGCAGCTATACTCAGGCTCTCTATCCATTTGGAAAAACATCTCCAAGAGCTTTGGGTAAATATCAACGTATTGACAACATACAATTGGTCTGTAATGTCTGTTCGACGTAAGAACGGAGTTCATAAGCTTGTGAATATCTGTTCTGATTGCTTTCCAAAGTCTGATGTCAAAGTAAAGGAGATACTGTAATCTTGAGCCATGAAACGTCGTGTAATTCCAAATACGGAAATTTGGATCATATTGGCACTCCTTTGCAACAGACTCTTCAACATTCCATGGATTTGTGGGTCTACTCCAATGATCTTGGTAAGCGTCATCAGGGTTCAATGGCAGATTACCCCATAATGGGATCTTTGTGAAATCACGGAATCCGCCAGGCCCTGGTGGTGTGCCCATTTGCAGGTTGATACCAACATCCCATTTACGACAGAAAGCTCTTGATAAAAGATCCCTGGAAATGTTGTAATTTCCAAAGACTGGTCCATTGACCATTTCGAGGAGCCATATGATAATTTCAGACGACATTTCCTCTCTAAATGTGTCTCTTGAGTTTCTGATACAGCAAGGTAAGCCAGCGGCACGTAGTTCGTTTTGAGCTTCAATGAGCTTCTCAAGATCAGTATGTGTCATTACAGTTGCTCTTCCCACCTTGTTCACTCTGTCTGTCACCATCAGTCCAAAGTCTTCGGCTTTGTCGGTTGTGAGTACAATCTTTTGCAGAGCGTCAACAATTTGCTTGTTTTGCTCATTGTAGAGCACAAGGGAGAACGTTTCAGAGGGCCAATCCGTACCATGGTACTTATTCTGTTGGAAAACTGAGAAATGTTTGTTCAGCAACACTGTGTTAGTATCGGTCTTTCTCGATTGATTCAGAATTGGAGTTGAACCGGCCAAAACGTCAACGACAAAGTCAAGTACGATTTCGAACGTTTGCAGGAGGGATATTTGGAAATCCTCTGGAATCTGTGATATTGGTGTCTCTTCACAATTGGCATGTTTACAGTGGAAATCTCTCTTCCAGGCATCAGAATCTCCACAATCACAGACACCACCATTTTCTCTTTGACAGATTAATGGTATTATCGCATGACCCTGGTGATCCTCCTCGACAAAGCAGTCCAGACACAATCCGGATGATTCATCCTTACCACATGTCATACAACGGTATATCGGTTCACCTTTCTTGAACATCCTTCCACACGATCTATTTGGATGCGAGGAGTCGTGATAATGGGCTCTTTGGAAGTAAAACCCACGTCCTTCCAAATGCTGGTACCTCTCTGGCAGGAGCACATGCTCCCAATTCGTCGGAAGCACAGAGCCATCAACATCGTTGAATAGGTGCTTCATGTACTTCCCCTGGTGGGAAGCAGCAAAGAATAATACCCTTCTTAGATCAACCTTGACAGCTTTGCTAAACCGATGCTGGTATCTCTTTGAGAACTGAAGCAATGACTTCTTCAAGAGCTCACCATTAAGCTCGAAAGCCTCCGACGGCGTACATTCACCAATATCCCTCTCAAGCACCGTGCTCATTCAGATGCTACCAGTGTTCTAATCGAGCTTTTGTCCAGGTATGTCCAACCGAGCTCAGTGGCATGTGTATGTCTTTATGGACGATTTCGCCATCGATGGAAAGTGACGCAAACAAACCGTAAACAAAGGACTGCGCCTACCGTCTCCAGTCATCGGGGGGGGGGGGCGTACAGGCTGGGTGTGGGTGTCCGGATGATGAGGTGTCCGGATCAGACGATAGATGGCACCTTCTTCTACAGAAGCGTCATATGGTGAGGCCATTGGGATGAGTTAACAAAGGAAATATGAATTAACAAGAGATTGAGATGTGGAATACAGGAACCAATTGTGACCTGACATTGCTCTACATATAAACATCATATATCGTCGACTTCCCTGAACTGCAATTTGGTTCCAAATGTCCTCGCCGGAGTTATATATACGTTGGACAAAAAATCAGAAAGAGATCGAAAAAAACGCAGGACAAGACAGGACAAGACAGGGCCAAAACGAGACACAGACGTCCTGGAAAATTTCCACCTCTTCATACATCCAAGACAAACTTCTAAAAGCTCGAAAAATAGCTGCTGCTAGTAGATTTCTGGACAAACGCGTCACGCAATAACAGTGGAAGGTGTTCGTGTTTGTGTGGAACTATGTCTGATTCAAGTGCTCAGAAGCTGCGTACGTTTCTTTACGAACTTGCTGGCTGGGTTTACCCAGACGACTTCACGTCGAGGTTGGTTGTTGTTCGTGACTTTCTCTACAAGGCTGTCAGTGAGGATGGCGCACATCTTGAGAGGGTGTTTCCGGGTTCGAGTTCACTCCCGTTCTACGAGAATGAGTTTGAACTAAAAGGTGTCAGGAGCTGGAACCTATGGAAGCCACCACAGGTCAACTACGGACACGAAGGTAGAAACTGTGGTCATCGGTTTGCCAACAAGGATATCATTTACAGATGCGCCGACTGTGGGTTTGACGAGACGTGTGTTCTGTGTGCCAACTGCTTTAACAAGGATGACCATGTTGGGCACAATGTTTCTAAGAGTGTTGCGAGATCTTCAAATAACGGTATCTGTGACTGTGGTGATGAGGAAGCGTGGACGAAGGAGTTGCGCTGTGCTTGTCAAAAGCCAGTGGGCTCGGAAGAAGATGCAAAAATCTTCAACAAGGAATACGAAGACCGGTTGACTGTGATCTTTGACGTGTGCTTCGAGTTCATCATTGAGGTTTTCTCCCAGCAGAATCAGACTTTGCTCTCTGTGCAGAAGCGTATTCAACATGAAAGAGAGACGGCCATTCAGGAAGATGTGCTTTTCACCCGATCAGTGATGGACAAGGTCCACAAGCCTTCGCAGGACGTGAGAGATTACTACCTTGTGTTTTGGAATGATGAAGTTCACAACTACTCGGAGGCAGAGAATGCTATTTCTATATGTGGTAAAACCCCTGATCCGCATCTCTGCAATGCATTGGCACAGAGAATTAACGACTACGGTCGTACAATCATTACAGAGAGTCACGTAATTGAATGGGTTCTGAAACAATATCGTACTGCTGCGATGCTTCCGTTTCCAGCCACCGTTACAGACAATCAACAGTTTGGTAGAGAAGATGTTGCATTTTCAGTATTGAAGGTCCTCTTAGGCTTGCTGAATAACCCAAATTACAACTTTCAAACCATATCGAGATCTGCCATGGCACGTTCTCTCTTAGCTACCTACCATTTGCCTTCTGAATTGGCACCATTCTGGCAGTCTGATAACATTCAAGAACCTTATAAGGGCTTGCTTGAAGGGTCCCTTCTTCCAAGAGATTTTGTCACTAGCAACACAGAAGTTCTTATAGAACCGTCAAAATATGAATCTACAAGGTTGAAATTCCTCTTATTCCTGGAACCTAGACTTTGGAAGCTATTCCGCTCCAAACTGAAAGAACTGCTTACGGCTGTTCTGCTATCTACAACGGAGTTCAAACTCACTGCTGGCGTCCAAGTGGTTGATATCTATGGTTTATTGCTCAAGAACACATTGCTTTTCGATAGAGAACCTCTGCTGACGTTTTTGCAAGAGTTCCTTGTCCAGTTCCTCACTTGTCCTATAACTTCTGGACACATTGTCGAGCAGTCATGTAACCGTTTATTGGCGTTGCTTTATGACGTTTTGAGCCATATGCAATGGGAAGATCGGCCTGGTGTGATTAGAATCACTGGTCCCTTGGCAGACCGTCGACTCCAGAGAACAGTAACATACAACACCATTTTCCAAACGCTCAAGCACTTGGTAGAAAAGACGAAGAGTATCAAGAGCTTCTTCCATCCTACCGCTTTTTACTACTTTTGCAAGATAATTGAGTATCATGACGATAGTTATTTGATCACTAGAAAAACTGGGGAACATGTGGAGCTTGAGAATCTCGAATATCAGGTTTATGAGGTGGCTGTCGAAGAACTAAACCTGATAATTCTGTCACTGACAGATGAGTGGAGACTTGACGATCTTGGATCACTTGAGTTGTCTCATTGTACAAGCAAACTTATGTTCGATTTGGCATCGAAGTTGACCAAACAAAAGCCAAGAAAGGTGTCCAAGATTTCTTCTTCAAAGATTGGATTCTACTATCCAACACTGCTGCTCCTCAGTAGATTGTTGAAAGTTGTGTATCGTGACTCCAAAACCGTGGGCACAATTGCACAGCAAGTGCCATTTGCTGATATTGCCCGCGTTTCTTTAAAACGTTTGGTACTATATGCCCAAATCAATGCTCGACTATGGGTACGTAACGGTACAAGCGTTCTCTCCATGGCAGCGTTTTATTCCGAACGTGAGTTTGGTGATAGTGACCTTGCGGTGGATATTTACTTTCTTCAGCTGTATGGAATGATTGACCCTGAAGGCTTTATTAAAGACCTCATTTCCTACTTTGAATTACAACCGTTTTTCTCCCATGCGGGATCGAATGTCGATGCTGAGCTGAGTGTTTACGGGAACAAGGCTCCAAACATTATGGAACAGGTTCTGGGTTTCTTGTATGCTATGATTTCCAAGAGATCAGACTTCATGTTGTTTGATTCCAAACCAAAACAAGAGGTTCATGCATTTATTGAAATCTTGAGGTACATGTTGTTTTCTGGTCCGTTGACTTTTACTCAAATCGAAGACGATCTGGACGAACAAGTGATCACTCATGAGCTCTTTGAGGAAACACTTCATCAACTTACTGACTTTACTCCACCTAAAGGTCTACAGGATGAAGGTATGTACTCCTTGAAAAAGGAAGAGTTCAAGCATGTTGATCCTCTGGCGTTTTTGGCGCAGAAGAGAGATGTCATCACGAATGTTGCGGTTATATCGAAGGCCATTGCTGATGGTGATGATACTTTAATTCTCATCCCACAACTCGACAAGCTTAAATCTTTTTCAAAGCAAATCGGTCACTTCACTCGTACGACAACGTTTGCCAGTATTGCACACCGATTCTTTGAAATTGCGCTCAATGGAGAAAGTGAAACCATGCTTGTCTATATCCTGCATTTTTTCCATGCTATCCTGATGGACTCAGAAATGTGTGGTGAGAAAGAACATCTTTTGAAGATCTGGATGTCTTCCGAGATATACCAACTTCTTTACCAAGTTGTGGCCTCTGGTAAATACTCCAGACAGATAACCAGTAAGGCGAATTTGTTGTTTGAGTGGTTTTTATTACAATGTGGAGATGAGGTCAAAGAAAGCATTGTCAAGAAACATGGAGCCGGTGCAATTGATAAGTACAAACAGGGTATATCTGGTCTGGTGGAGAGTAAGAATGATGTAGCTCAGAGGAAGAAGATTGCAAAATCTCGTCAAGCACGTCTTTTGAAGAAGATGAAGAAGAAACAGGCAGCTTTCATCTTGAAGAACGAAACTGTTAACCAGGAAGCTGACGTGGACACTGCTGGTTGCAGACAATGTGTGATGTGTCAAGGGTTTGAGTCTACTGAAAGACTAATGCTCATGCCTATTACCTTGGTCGACACCGATACCATCAAGAGGCTGCCAACTTCCGATGATCCTTATATCAAAAGGGCGTTCATGGACTGGGGTGATGACACTTTGGAACCCGATGACGAGTTCGTTGGTAAAACTACTTGTCAATCAGCCGCATATTCTCGTCCATCGATCATTTCAAGAGTGGCAGTCTCCTGTAACCATGGATTCCACTTTGAATGTCTACAGGACTATTTGCGTCGTGAAAACTGGAAGAAATCCAGTAGTGTATCGTGTCCATTGTGTAAAGTGAAGAACGATGTTTACGTCCCCGTTTTACCCAATATGGTCAATGACAGAAGCTGGCTGGAGAAAGATTATGATATGAGACTTTGGAGAAAAATCATGACTGAGGGAGTCGTCGACATCTTGTACGACGTGCAGGATAGAATAATGAAGTTGATGGAGAATGGTGATTTGGCACTAGGCTTTTCACCTTTTGAAGGTGCAGAAAGTGTGCACATATGGAGCATTTTCAGCTTAACGATTTCTCAAGCTGAAATAGCAACCAGAGTCAATGGTAATTCTGCTTACACAAGGTTTTTGGATCAAATCCCTGAACAGACTTTTGTTCTGTTGAAATCGCTGTTTGAATACGCAGTGTGTCTTCATGGTTTCTCGTACCCAAGAGACAAGAAGGGAAAGTCACACATTCTGGATAACATTTCCAGAACGACGTCAATGATTACAGTGTTTTGTATTCTGTTGTTTGGCACACAGATACCTTTTAAAGAGGTTGTCACTGGTCTTGTGAAGATCTTTATTGGAAAATACGGCAAAAACCTTCATCTTGACAAGGTCTTGTATCCTCGGTGTAAACCTTTTATGAATATCGATGACAGGACTGTGAAGGTGTTTGGCGATTTCTTCCCTGATCAAAAGATATGGTTCACTGATTATGCTGAAGAGGATATTGCTAGCAGAATTGGCTGCATCGAAAGATTAATAATAGTTGATCTGAGAAACATTGCTATTTTTATGAAGGTTTACGATCCAACCTTTGTCTTTTCAGAGTCAGCTGAGTCATTCAGTGTCGATAGCCTGTTGCACAGTCTAGGACTTCCGAATTTGGTTGATATTCTCTCTACCGGTCCAAAAACAGAGTTCCCTCATTATCCTTTGCATGAGTCGATGGTGCCTCCTTTGGGTGGTTTGAGATATCCTGGTGTTGTGAAGTTGTTGGACTTACCTAAGAGTCTTAACTCGCTCATCGAAGCCAACATACTGCAAAATGGAAGTGTGTTCACTCGGGATGATACTGCTTCACGGTCTACGAATGGAACCTCATCTATTTGTCTAATGTGCGGTAAAGAAATCATTGGAATTCACACGGCTCAGCAGTATGTGAGCCATATCATCAATAATTGCTTATGCCAATCAAATGCAATGTTCTTGTTGCCAGCTACAGATGAGATCAAGCTATTTTCCTTGAGAGGACAATATTTCTACTCCAAGACTATCAATGCACCATACCTCAACTCACATGGTCAAAGTGGTCGCAGTGCTATTTCAAACGGTCGAGTTGCAACATTGAGTATTGAAAGACTCAAGCACCTCGAGGAGATATGGCTAAGTGCAGGTATCTATCCATACCTGACGAGAACGGAAAGAGGGCATCGTATAGGTGGAAGCTCGTTCGACCAGTACGAGGAATTCATGAATAACCTTCTGGAGGAAGAAGTTGCAGGGCTTCCTGGTGATACTGGTATGCTCTTGAACGTTCTACGTGAGGGGCCTGAAGGCTTCTTTGGAAGCGACACCGTTGATCACGATGTTGCGCACACGGATGATAAATATGGATTATATGGACTTGGGTCTGCAGAACAGGATGATCTGAATTACAACCCAACTGATGACCCTGATTACGACGATTTTGATGGTGGAAGCATTACCGAATACTTCGATATATTTGATCCTATTGAAAATTCTGATGAGGACTATTCTGATGATGATGATGATGATGATGACGTGGTAATGGATACCGATGCAAATACTAGTGATAGTGATGATAATCACGATAACTTCAGTGACGATGACGATGACGATGACAATTACCATTATTCGGTTACTGTTAACAATCCCCTTGAGTACAATTTCGACTATGATTACCATGATGACGATGACTACTCTGATGACTACGACAGTTATGATGACTTTGAGGACGATGTGTACGATGGCGATGATGATGCGAATTCTTTTTTAGGTAGCGCTGCCTTTAGATCATTCATGGATGAAGTTTTAGACAATGTTATGGCTACGATGCCAAAAAGTCTTCAACAGAGATTTCAGAGCTCTGTTGACGAGACTGTGTCTTCTTCTCCCAGATCTACTGGCAGCATTCTACCGGTTTCAGCTGAGTCAGTGTCAAGTGTTACGCCAAATGCTCAGCCAACTTCAAGATCACCGCTAGGAACTCGCCCAAGTTCTGTTGGGATTGGCCAACCATCTAATACCTCTCCGTTCAGTGTTATTGGAGCTGCAATTGGTACACCTAATCGTGGATTGGGGTCTTTTGGTAACCGTACCACGTTGTCAGAGGGTACTGGAACTGATTCTACAAGACCCACCACGGGATCCTTCTCCATGTCTACGAACTCCACTGTCAATTCAGGTGCTATGCATGTAATCACATCTGAATGCACTGCAGACAGTTCAAACCCACGCCAGGATGATTCTAGTCCATCTTTTGTTACTAAAGCAAAGGGAAAAGAACAGATGGAGAAGAATCGTGTATTATCTACCAGTGGCTTAACGACGACTTCACCTACAAGAAACGCAGCATCAAAAACGCCAACACCATCCACTTTTCAGTTTAAGAAGCAGCCTGCTGAATCTCCGTCAAGTGGTTATTCCAATCAAGCATCTAGCTCTTCTTCAACTGTGAAAACATCACCAAACACAACATCTAAAAGGGGGAATAAGGATTGGGAAGACGATAAGATTGTGTACAACGCCAAAAGTTCTGCTGGTAACAAAGCAAAGACCGGCACCAATGCCAAAGGTAGCAGTAAGACAACCACGTCTTTAACCTCAAATGATACTCGGTTCCTGTCTAAACGCACCAGTGGTGCAAAAACTGGCAATCAAGCAAATGTATCTTCATCTTTTGGAATCAAAAACTCGAGTTCTGGTCTTCAATCTTCGAAAAATGCTGCTAAGAAGGGTTCATTTGGAGGTAATAGCTCCACTAACAATGCTAGTTCAAATCGAAGTTCCTCAAAGAAGGGTCAATCTTCATTGTCCTCGGACAATGGCTTGCCAAAAAGGTACGACACAAGGGGTTCAGCTAAGAGCCAACCGACTTCTAAGAGACAGGCCAAAAGCTTGGATGACGATGACGTTGTTGCTTATGATAACATCAAATTTCGTTCTGGTAAAAAGCACGGAAATAGCTCCAATCGTGATAGAAGTTCTGCTGGTATATCAATGGGGAAGAGCTCAGCCCAGAAGACTGGTGCTTCAAAGACGGCTGCTCGGAAGACTTCTATTTCAGGGTCTGGTTCTCCGGTGAATACATCCATCTTACCAAAGAACTCCAATCAGAAGTCTTTTCCGCCAAAAGCTTCGTCTTCAAAGGTTTCAACATCTGGAAAGAACAACACACGTCCAGTGAAAGCCAATGCGAGCACTTCAACAAACAGTGCTCAAACTTCAAAGAGTAACAGAAAATCAACGAGTCCGTCTTCTTCTTCAAAGACAACAGCATCTTCTTCTTCAACCACGAAGCAATCAACAGTCAACAGCCGAGCTAATACTCCATCATCTTCCGTTCCACCTGATGTTTTACAGAATCCAGACCCAACTACCAGAGTATATACTGCTTCTCGTGCACTCGAACTATTGGGTTTGCCTCCGGATTTCATTGCTACTCGAAGGGCAATGGCAAGAACAATGACTGATGATCTACCACTAGTGGATAGGGATGCTGATGCTCCGCCATCTTCCCGTACTCGCTCTGCGTTTGCTGCTGCTGTTGCTGCTGGGAGCTCTGCGGGCTCTGCTTCCAATGATTCTTCAGGCCGTTCCACCCCTACACGTTCAACATCGACTGTAACACCAAAGCAGGCCCAGTAAGCCACAATAGGCTAATTGTTACACGTGGTAAGAGCATCGATCTTGGCTATGAGAGTATGAGCTTCCCCTATTACACGCTTTTGCTTACCTCAATGCAACGAATGATTTCTGTCATCCTCGTAGTTCTGAGAGAGTTCAAGTTGTGAACGTGCTCTCTTCGTATACAGAACACAGGTTTCAGGAAGGCACGACTCACTTTTTAACACCTGCGGATCAATCTCACAGCGTCCATACATTATACAATTGCTACTTTCAACATCAATACGAGTGTCATTCACTATCTAACTCATGGAGCTGCGAGCTGTGGTATTACCTCTTGAAACTGATTGAAAATTCAAGCCAAATGCCCCCCAAAAAAGAACAGCTACAAAACAGAATCAGCACTAACCATTTTACTCTACATCTATGTTTCTAACTGTTATTACTACCCACTGTATCATCTATCTCCCCTTGTAGTACCTTCCCTAACCACCTGCTTCTCTGTTGACGGAATTCGCGGGGCTTAAGAAATCCACACTGAGAGCCTACAAAACGAACATCATGCCCTGTTCAACGTGAAAGGAGCCCACGTGAGCAGACTCCCGCAAGAATGAACTTGCTTTCATTACCTGATGAGGTTCTACTGCTTATCCTTACAAAGTTTGAAGATGTGTATGAACTCATTGACCTCTCCAGGGTGTGTAAACAATTCCAGGCTCTGATCAAGTCGTTTGTCCTTGTACTTGGTGATGCTGAAGAGCAGAGTGAATACTTCAAAGGCATAAGTGGCAGATATTTACACATGGATCAGTCAAGTGATCGTTCAGAGATTGAATCTGTTGTTCACAGGTTCCAATTGTTCATCTTTGAATACTCAGGGCTATCACCAGACTCTACAGGCTCGTATCCATATCTGTACACAATTGCCAGTTGTAAACTACGGCCGCTGTCACCTCTGATTGAGGTCTTCATGACAAGGAAAGGTGCGAGTCGGTCATTTCAGCAGAAGAGTCGATACTGGCTCGACTACGAGCCTGTGGAGGAGAATCGAGCATCGAACACTGAGGCCATGAAATTCCATGCTATGCTCTCGCAGGTTTCAAAGACGATGTTCTTAAACGATGCTGAAGATGCCTTGAAAACATTTAACCATGAGGATTTGAGCCTCAGCGGTGACAGCTCCATGGTTGAGAAGGATCTCATAAGATTTGGCCATGAGTATGAATTCCGGAGGGCTGTTGAGATTCCACAATTCTGGTTCACGAAGAGCAATCTCCATCCGTGCCGGTTTGTATCAAAGAGTGTGAAGATTCTCAGAGGTATAACAAACACCTCGATGACCTCTAATAGAATACCACCACTTGTTGATTTCTTCCAAGGCTCGTACCTTCCAAATCTTGAGCAGGTCTTTGGCGTTGCCATTGAAAGTGGGATCCCTCTCAGCATGTTTGATCGCTATCCCATGCTTAGGTCATTGTCGTTGGAGAGTGCATATACAGGGGACGATGAACTCTTTTGGAATGCGAGTAAGAGTGTCACACGATTGAACAGCTTACAAGAACTAACCATTGTGGGGAACTCTGCCTGTCTATGTGATCTGTATCTACCAAGTCTACAGTTGTTATCGCTTTCAATCTACGGATCTCGAGAACGTGAGGAGGAAAATACGCTGAGATTCGAACGACTCCGAGCCCCCAGTTTGAAGCAATTGGCGTTTGAGTTCACATCTCTGCCTAATGCCCTGTTTAACGTTCTTGATGAACTGTCTCCGGTTTTAGATGGAGTGGAGATGTGCTCATTGACCACGAACTCGAAGTCATTTATCAAGAGTAACGAACTGATCAACCAGATGGTGGGATTGAAGCAGTTGAGTATGTCCTACAACAACATTGACGTCAACGACATACCACAATCACACGACACGCTGGCTACGGAGTCCCTGTATTCAATATCACCGGAGGATCCTCCTTTCAGTCTGCACTTATCGTCGACGATAGAGGATTTAACCCTAGGTCGGTTTGATACGCAGAGCGTGCTCACCGTCGGTTCACAGTTCAAGCAATTGAAACGACTGTCCATCACGTTAAAGATACGGGTCGAGAGGCAGGATTATACTTTTGATCATACGCATTTCCCAAGCCTACAAGTCCTGGAGATTGACTACGTGAACCTATACTCACATCTACAAAACTGCAACATCTTCGTGAAGATTGATCTGAAGGACGTTGAGCTGGTGTTTACCAAACAGCCGTTGCCAATGTCCAATGTGGACTTTGTCCAATTGCCCAAGCATATCGGCGTGCACCTGATGGAATGAACACTGAGAGCAACAGATCTTAACCATGTAGATTACATCGATAACGTACATAGAAGCACACCTGTGAATGGCCGTTGTAGATGATGTGAGTCCATTATGTCTTGTCCGTGCGTGGCCGAACCTGCAAAGCACCGGTCTGGGACAAATCGGACGAAAGTCCACCCTCCCTCTGCCCCTGTGTCCAAAACGCGCACATCACCCAGCCGAAAGCTACCAAATCCATACGTGTGGTTGTATGTGTGACTTGGGTAGCGTGTGGAAGCAGCAGGACACACGGATATCGTAGTGTTCGTTATCGATTCACCAAACGAGCCATTGTGGGAGCCTTGGTTAACCACTAATGGACACAACAAGGGCCTTTTCCAGTCCAGTCCTGTCCCGTCCCGTACAATAGCCCAATGGCCCAAACGGTCTATTGTCTCACCATAGATTAGTTGTTCCGGTGTACATAGTTTTTCCGGCATCAAGAGGTGCAGCGTTGCATCAAGTCACGTGCGCAGAATAATAGAAAGCGCGAGCGAGCGAGCCAGCCTGAACGAGAATGAGAGAAAAAAACACCTTCCTCCCCCCACTCAGGGGGCATCACCACCTTTCACCAGAGGAAACTGGGCGGAGGAATCCAACCCGCTCCAGCGCTGTTCTTGCCTGTCGTTTGTGTATTTTTTTCCGCTTCCTACGACTTATCATCGCTTCAACTGCACTTGGTTTATTTTCGCCACGGGCTGTTGGAAATATAAAAAAGGGGGCAAAAGTGCGTCGAATTTGCGAATAAATAAAACACCTTTGCTTGTTTGAGCTTGAAGCTTTATAAACAGAATTGACTTGTTGGCGTTTTTGTCTGTAACTTTATACCAAAAAACGACTAATTTTCCGTCTTGAAAGCATCACAACTTTTTGCAGTGCTTTTTCAGTGTCCACAGAAAATTTCCCAAGGTTGCCTTCAAATTTTTGGGTTTTTTCTGGTTTTTTTGTGTCACAATTTTGATTTTTTTTAACCCTCGGAAGAATTTTTTTTGTCCCAAATTTCTGTATAAAAGAAGGTGCTGATAACCCGAGCATAGCAACCAAATTTTTTTGTCCATTTGTCCCATTTTGTTCACTCTTAGCTCATCGGATTAATTTACAACAGCTACAATATCACCATTGAAGAAGCAAAGATGGCAACTCAATTCAAAGAGAACACAGTGATTGTTGTGTTTGGTGCGTCTGGAGATCTGGCGAAGAAGAAAACGTTCCCAGCACTATTCGGTCTCTACAGAGAAGGATATCTGTCGTCCTCTACCAAGATCTACGGGTATGCCCGTTCACAGATGACGTCTGAGGAGCTCCACGACAGAATCAAGGGGCACTTCAAGACCACGACGGAGGAGTCAAAGCAGAAGGTTGAGGAGTTTTTGAAGTTGGTGTCGTACATCTCTGGTCCGTACGACAAGGCTGAAGGGTTCAAGACGTTGAACGAGTCAATTGAAGCGTTTGAGCAGGAGAGAGGCGTCAAGGAGCCTCACAGACTGTTCTACCTGGCGTTGCCACCTTCGGTGTTCATCACAGTGGCCAAGGAGCTGAAGGAGAACGTGTACGCTTCTAACGGTATAACGAGAATCATCGTGGAGAAGCCATTTGGCAGAGACCTGGAAACTGCCACAGAGCTCCAGAAACAACTGTCGCCGTTGTTCACTGAGGAGGAGATTTACAGAATTGACCACTACTTGGGTAAGGAGCTGGTTAAGAACTTGTTCGTGCTAAGATTTGGTAACCAAATTCTCA